CTTGCCGGATAACCTCAACTTGTTGACGGTCCTGTCTTGTTTCGGCTTACCTCCTTGAACCCCCCCCTCTGTGTGTGTGTGTGTGGGTGGATGGGCACTTGGTGCGTCGACAGTGACAAAACAAAACATTACGAGGAATCCCTCTAATTGTAGTTATGATAAAGAAAGAATTTATGTTTTATGTTTTCTTTTCATGTTTCCTTTTTCACAGTTCCATGTTTGCTTTTACGTACACTCTGGAATGCGGAAGATTGTTGCAAAACATGGGCAGCATTGTGCTCAAGGAGCACAAAATTTTGTTTCAGTAGGGGTGGCTCTCGGGCTGTCGACTCAATGGACGTCTCTCTGGCTGTCAGCGATTCCGAATCTGTGTGTGACGCCACGACTCCTGCAGGGAACGCTGATGATGGCACAGAGGATGTTGCAGTGGAGCCTGAGCCGCCTCTTGCGGACCCGACTTTTCATGCTTCGCTTCGTGATCTTCAGGACTTGGAGGTTCGTGTGGGCTCTCGATTGTCACCGGTGGCAGATGACGTCGCGGGCCTCCTGTACCAGGTTCAGCGCCTTAGCGATCAGTTTGTGGCTCTCCGAACCGCTGTGATGTCTCGCTTAACCAGCCTGGAAGATCGCATGTCCGAGACCGAGCAGGCCATAGGCGAAGTCGCTCAAGCCGTCACTCGCTTGTCTCTGCAAACTGGCGACGCATGAGGTCCATTCTTGTTTCCCAGGTCTGCAAGGCCAGGGAAGCTCGCTTAGGCTTGTTCACGCCCAAGTGAGTGCTGAGATAGGTTCGCTTCCGTTGCTTCAAGACAGGCCTTTTGCCATGCTTGACAGATAATTTGCAGTGTCGCAGTGATTCCAATCTGGGCCGCACTGGTCCATACCTCAGATTGCTTCACTTCATGTCTGTTGTCTGCCTCGCATTGGCGCCTGGTTTTGCAGATTTCGTCACGTAGATGCTGGCGACGTCCAGCTGACTGTGCAACCCTCAGACCGGGCGAAAAACTGCGGCCCGCACAGACCCTGGACATGAGTTGCATCAGTGAGTGCTTTGTGCAGTGGTGGTACCTCTACTTGCCATGTGCACTTTGCAGTCGACTTGCATGCAACTTCCCTGTGTTCGGGCGCTGTTTGTGCCGCTTACTTTTCCGAGTTTGCGCAGTGCATGCATCTGGCTGCGAGCGCTTTTAGGGCATTGCAGGTTAGCTGCAGATTTTTGGCATGTACACGTCATTTTGCATGGTTGCTGCATGGCACTCATGTTTCTGAAGTGAGCTTCGACTCTGCGGCATCACTTTCGGTGTGCTGCTTCAGATCTGCTGAACTTGCCGCGATTGCAGGTTTTGTGGCTCCTTCTGCTAGAAGGGAGAGATCAGGAGCAGACCACTTGACGGCTAGGGAACAGTGTCGCTCCTCATGGAAACGACCTTGACCCGTCGAGCAGTCTGGATCCATGAAAGCTTCGAGTTGCATCGGCCTCATGTCTCATTCCGCACCGCTGAGTTTGCTCATCGTGCCGCTTTTGAAAAATTTCGTGAAAACCTCCAGAAATCCCAGGAGCCGTTGGCCGAACAATTGAACCGAGAGGCCTGGGCTCGTCATGACATTTGCGAGGATGATGCTGCTTCTCTGACGCCTTCGGAGTCTGGAGATGCCGGTGAGGAAAGGGCTCCTCATATCATCTTTGCTAGTCTTTCGGATGAACGCAAGGAGGCTTTGGCTGCCGGGTGCAGCCTGACAGCACCGACGCGAATCATGCATCGCGCTCCTTCTGGGCGCAAGCGCCCGGCGAGCTCCTCCAATTCGGACCGAGGCCATGGTCATTGGCTGCGCGGCCTCAGTGGCCGTCTTGATGACGTCGAGGGCTTCTGTGGGTCAATCATCGACAATAATTTCTCTCGCAGCCTTCATGCTCGCCTCCTCCGTGTGGAGCGACTGCTGAGTGTGCCCGAACCTTATAATCCATTAGGGCATTCTCCGTGAGATGCATGCAGCTAGCAAACCAGCACTGGTGCCGCCTGCCATGAGAAATCTTCAGAACTGCTTGTCTTCAGGAACACTTGTGCTTCTATCAGCGTCGTGCCTGTGCCTGTCAGGTCTTGACGGTTTCTAGCCGTTTGCAGGATCCTAGACCTCCATAGCGTGCCGCGGGCACTCTGCATTCGCGCTCCGCAAGGTGCGCCTGCTTGTGCTCTCCCGCTTGCTGTGCAACTTCAAGTTCTTGCAAATTGCCGAAAAGTGGGGCTTAAGTTCTAGGCATTAGGGTAATGGAGTTGCTGCGTGCCGAGCAGCATCAGAAGAAGAGACCCAAGCATGCTTGGGAGCAGGAGCCTCGGGGCATTGCGACCTTTACATCGGTCTCGATGGGGGCCTCATTCAAGTTGGGCCGTTCTGAGCACATGCTTTGGGAGCTCAGGGCTCAGCAAGGATTGAAGCAGGTTGATGCGATCGAGAATGTGAAACTTCCAGTGCTCCCATACGCAGCTAGGAGGGCGAAGATGATGGATTGGCCTGAGATAGCTGATGATATGAAGAGGAAGTCGTTGCACCTTGTTAGGATCATGGTGGAGTCTGATTTCCACGCCACGAAGCTCGGGACCATGCTTTACGAGCTTAGCGGGAGCCTCGACAAGGAACCTCAGATCCAAAGGACCATCGAGCTCACCTTTGCCAAGAAGGCCGCTGCTACCCTGCATAAAAGGACTCTGGCATTTTGCTTTTACGTACACTCTGGAATGCGGAAGATTGTTGCAAAACATGGGCAGCATTGTGCTCAAGGAGCACAAAATTTTGTTTCACCCGCCCGCCCTCCCGGGAGAGAGACTGTGGCAGTGATCGGTATGCCTTCGTGCGACCATCATGTACCGCCTTCGTGCGGGTGTGTGTGCATTCGCTACCTTTGGTCTCTTGTGATTCCCGTCGCGTGGCATTCGAAGTTGGGCAGCAGCATCATCCCCTTTTGCGATCAAAATGAAGACGGTCCGAGTGATTGAGGCAATTTGATATGCTTTGAAAATATTCGATGTCCCATATATCAATTGGGAAATACTGACTTGATTGCGAAGTAGATTGAACCACGACCTTCGCGGCGCATCTATGCGCAAGTGCATCATGGTGTATGTTGTGTTGGTGTTGGGGTTCAAGAGTAAGCCAACAAGACGGTCTTAAGCTTGTGCTCGGTCGCTGAGTGGGGCTGATAACAGCCCTTGACCCGGCACACGTGCAAGCGTTCGCATGATGGATTGGTGCAGCCCTGCGAGTTGAATGCAAAGCATATGTCGCGGCCCTCCGGCGTGCGCCAAACCAACTGAAGGCCCTTAAGTGCCGGGTCCGAGGGGCTTTTGCCGTTCTTGCCCCCCTTGGAGTCTTTGCCCTTGCCGCCCTTTCCTGTCTTGCCTCCGTCCTTGCCGTCCTTGCTCTTGCCCTTGCCTTTGTGCCACTTGCGTGGTCGCTCAATGATGGACAATGCGAGCGGCGTCGTGAAGTAGGTCTCCTTAAGCTCCGCTGAAGAAATGACTGAAGCCAGAGCGCCTGCCAGAGTATAACCCTGATCATTGACCAGACGGAAAGCCTCCTTGCGCAACCGGTGCTCATAGGCCAAGACTACTTCCCAAGGTGGCGAAAGTGAAGGCACATCGGCTGGCTGATGAGACGTAGGCACTGAGAGCTGGGCGACCTTTTCGCCAAGGATGTAGTTCACGAAGTGGTCGAAGTCAGACAGCTTGAGATCCTGAAGCCACTGCTTGGATTTAAAGCGGGATGCCATGCATAGCCATGTGAAAGCTTCCACGCGAAGGACCTTGCGATAAGCTTCTGTAGTAGTCGGGAGCTCACTCTTGGATTTGTGCTGAGTAATATGAATTCGCCCCGAAGCGTCAAGGCTGGACTGGATGCTCGTGGTGAGCGTGTTCTTCTTCGAAGTTATGGCATCCAAGGTTGAAGCCTGAGGCTCATTGGCTTCGCACTCCTCGCACTTGAGAGCGAGGTACTCAGACGATGGAGTCTCCGACTCTCCCAGCTGCCCGTGAACGGCCGCTACCGCCTTGAGCATTGCTTGCCTCTCTGTGACTTGCAAGATTCGCGGCTGGCCTAACACTTTCGCCTCTGCTCGCGTTTCCGTCTCTTTGCTGATTACGTCGCGCGCAAGTTCCCATGCAGCGACGACCCCCGCGATTTGTTGTCGCCCATCTGCAGCCCCATCATCCAAACCAAAGTCCGCCTTCCCAGCAGCCCGAGCTTCCGGCCGGGAATCGGCGATTGCCTGGAATCGCCTAAGTGTTGTATGTCGTTGCACAATGCGATACTGGGCATCCAGAGACAAGCCAGCTTCTCCGAGCACAAACTGCAAGTCGCTATCTGCTTTGGTTATGAGCTCGCGCTTCTCGGCATCTGTGGCGGCCATTGCGACAACAGTAACTAACTCCAGCTACTCCTGATGCGAAGGCCGCGCTCCCGCCTGTGGCCCTGTAGGACTTGGATTGCTAGCCGCCCTGAGGCCTTTAGCTGCACTGCGATGTGTCCGCCCGTCGCCCTGAGGCCTGTGACAGGATGCGGAATCCGTCGGCACCTCACGGCCTGCGCCGAGTGAGACTTCCTCCTGCTTGAACAGCGCCAGCACGTGCACTTAATCAGCATGAACTGTTATCGCGGATCAACTTCAAGGCGCCCTGAGAAATGTCAGCATGGACTGTTATCGTGGATCTACTTCAAGGCGCCCTTGCATAAGCAACTCATGCCAACTTCTGGCTAGGACTTGCAGGGCACAGCCTATACACAGCAGTCGAAAGCATCTTTTGCCTTCACATCGACTCGCTCCCACTGTCACTGCTGGAGGGGTCTGATTCCTCCTCTCCGGCCTGAGCCTTCATTCTTGCTTTGCAATCTTTGCAAATGTTATCGACGTCCTCCGCGCCGACATGATTGACAAATTTTACATCGTAACAATTCTCAGGCTTGACATAGCAACCCAACATGTGCAAACGCCTCAGGCCTGTGGTGCGAGAGGTAACGATGAAGTAATCCCCCCGGCTGCCTGGCATCGAGACCTGCTCGACTGGAGAAGGTGGTGCCGCAACACCCACTTCCAATGCCAGAGTTGGCCACGATCCGCCCAAGCCTTTGGATCCCTCGAGGAGGGTGTGACGGCGACGAACCTGAGATTCGCTCTCCCCCGCCTTAGCTGCATAGTCCGTCAAAGCCTTGATGGAATCCACCTCGATGTAGTGCTTAGGCTGTCCGGTGACAAGAGAACAAGCAATGTGACTCTGGAGACGATGCACAACCTGCCTAGAAGTGCGAATGTAGGTTGCAGAACCTTCGCCACCTACCTTCCAGCGACCCAGATAATCAAGCTCCCTGGGGTCGACATCGATGGCCGCTCCGACCGAGCTAAGGAAGTTCCTCGCAGAATGGCCCGTAAAGTGACTGGAAGTGTATCCTGGGAGCAGCGGACGCTGATCATTGGCCTTCCAGGTGCGCCCCTCACGCTTGGGCGTCTTCAACTCACTGAGAACTTTGCGGAAGTAAAGGGCCACCGTGGAGGAAGGCACCGACTTCTCAAGGGGTTCCGTGAAACCTTCATTGGCCTTCAAAACCAAATAATCCCTCTCAAAATCGAAATCCTTCCAAAGTGCATATCCGGCCTTCAGCCAGTCATGCCCTGTCAGAGAGATACTCCGTTCCACGAAGACCTTGACGGTGTGGGTCCTTTTGTCGGGCCCTGTAGTCTTGGACCGCGCGAGATCAATGCTAAGCCCTCGCTCGTCCAGAAGCATGGTCTGCGGCAAGAGCCCCTGAACATCATCAGCCCGAAGTGACCCCCAAACCATCAATAAGCATACAAAGCCCAATGCTCTCAAGTAACTAGGCTCCCCAGGCGTGCAGACGAAGATCTCACATGCGAGGACGATAGCAACGGTGAGCATGCTGGCTGGCTGCTCCGGCGGTGCCGCCGAAATCAAATCGGCTGTGTAACTTTTGAGCTGCGCCTGCCATGTGGGATCCTGAGATATCTGCTGCGTAGACGGCACGCGCCCTACACCTTCAATTACACTGAGAGAGGCTTGCAGGCTTTCGAGGACTGTCTTTCCACATCCTTCCTGGAATCGTTCATTGGCATAGTCTAGCACATCAGCTACCCCTTCCGGATAGCTTCTGCCACGGCTATAAAGCAACCATTCCCGAAACTTATCCCAAGCCCTAAAGCGATTCCTCAATGTCTTGGAGCGACGGGTCCCGAACAGCCGTGGCCAGGCTTCCTCGGCATTGCTGACCCCTGCAAGCACCTTGCACACCGGCAGTTGCGCCTCCTGCATGATGGCTGCAAGACGCAATGCATACTCCTGCCGAAGTCGTATCTCTTCAGTGGCCCTGGCACCGCGATCTACGACCCTATCAGTAGCTAACTTCCGCTTGCGAAGAACCGGAAGCAACGCAAGTGGACTCTGAAGTGCGATCTGATTGTAATGCTCATGCAAGCTAAGGCCAGTTCCCGGGACACTGGGCAAGCACTCTGTCAAGCGCCTCCTTGCTTCCCTGCGCCCACTCGCAACTGTGCGGGCATTGTCTGCATGCCATTCAAGAAGTGCATCCGCAATCAACTGCAGGCTACTTTCAAGAAGCGTGTTATCGCAAGCCCTAAGCAATGATACAAGCTCTTCCCTCGTGTCGAAGGAGGCAAACAATTTCTCAGGCGTGCTAAACCACTCTTCAAGGCGGTTGCGGTATGGTGGCACTAAAGCGGGCCATCCCAGTCCTGTGCCACTCATGGCCGACCATGGGCCGCAGGGCCACCCTTCTACCGCTTTCGTAGTCCTAAAGTATGGAGCTACCGTGAAGCTAAGCTGTCCAGTCATGCGTCACAACGATGCTTGTGAATGCTAGCCCCATAGAAATCAAAATTTTCTCTGCTCCTGAGCCTGAGCTCTGCGTCCATGATAAGCATTGAGATTGTGCGCGCACTCAGCTTCTGGCTCAATTCTGAAAAGCGCACGATACGTAAAATAAAATAGAAACTCAAAACTGCTAAATAAAACTTTTCTCTTTGAAACTGCGGAGATCTTCGAGTTGGTCTAATCAAGGGAACTCCTCCTACCCACAGAGACACCCCGCCCCGCCCACCCAAAACGTTTACTCTAAACAGCGCCGCCGGGCAAGCCCGGCTAGGCGAAGTGTGGTTTGTCGTGGAAGCTGTCCTTGAAGACGTCGCCCTGGACAAGGATGCCAAGGCAGTGAGAGTGTGGGATGTAGAAAAGCAGCAGCACGTCTCTTTGGCTTTCAAGTATGAGAGCTCCGAACTCGATTGCTTGGACTGAAAAAAAGCGGCCTCGTGCATACATGCAGTCTGCCCTGCATGCACATGGTTTTCATCCTTTAATAAATTGTAGGTAAAGGAGCCGGTCGCTCCTGCAAGTTACAGTAATCTATATATAGGAGCAATTGCTCCTCGACCATTATGCTGAAGAATATAGTCCTACAGATTTTTGTAGTGTTTCGGTACTGCAGCGAGATCGCTTGCCGGAACATGTGCTTTCATGCATTCTCGAGCATGCCATGCAGATTTTGGCTCAAGTCGCGATTTAGAGTCCAAGCTATATACTATTATAGTCGAACCCGGCCATGCCTGCTGAGCGAGAATTGGGCTCTAAGAACATCCAAGACATCATCTGCGAGCTGGCAGATCTCATCGGGGAACGGAAAGAAAGAATCGCCGGTGCAGTTTCGATCATCTGCGACAACAAGATGTGCCTGCACTGCAGTCGGATCTACCTAGTGGAATGGCTGAGCGAGAAAGATGTACAGGCCTACGACATGGTTTTCCGTCCACAGCACTTTTGTAGGTGCGAAGAGTGATGCCGATCGAGTCGTGCGAGCGACAAAAAAATCTCTTGCATGGGATCGATTTGACACATAATTGTATGTATGTATGCATGTTCATGCATGCATGTATACACATATATATGCGTATGTATATATATATATATATATATATATATGTATGTATGTATGTATATACATATATATATATATATATATACCAGCGCCCTATACCAGCGCCCTTATCAGCGTTCAAATGCCAGAGTACGTATGTCTACCAGCGCCCTGTGAAAGCGCCTGATAACATCTATCACCCACTGCTATACCAGCGTCGATGCTCTGGGAAGCCCCCCTTTAAGCCCCCCTTAAGCTCTTTTGGCTTGACTGGGCCTCGTCGACTACGGCTGTAGCACTCGGTCCCTACAAACAAGCGAAACTACAATCCAAGCATCAAACTACAACAATGCGGTGAAACAGCAAAGCGAAGCTCTACAAAGGGCTGCGGCGCACAGGCTTTGCCGGTGTTAGCCGTTCAGCACAGACTACGGAGCCTCAGCGACCGGTCACGAGCAACAAAGAGCCGTCGCTCAGAGCTGCCCAAAACAACAGGTGGAGCCAAGTCCAGGCTCCGGTTGCCGTTCTAGTCTCGCCCGACAACGGACAACCCCTGTGTTTTGTTCCGTCACGATCGTGCACACCAAAATCCAAAAGTCCAAGGCCCACTGCATGCGTGGGCGGCTTCCTGATAAGGAGTGCGAAGACCAGTGCCGCAGGCAAGCAACCCGCTCATGCAACCGCCGTCATTGGACACACACCCCAAGAGGACAAAGACAATCGACCCTTGGCGTGTCAAGCGCCTAGACGCCGCTCTGATGCGACACTGGCAACCTGCGTGGGCCACACCCTCACGGGCATACTGCCGGCGTCGTGCAAGTGACAAGGTTGCACGACCACGACACGCTAGTGCGCATGGCCGCCGTCGCCAGCAGAATCAAATCAATGTCCCTAGCCGTGAGCTGGAACACTGGGTCAGCCGCTAAGACAGGCAGAGATCACCAAGGCGGACATTGACGTGCAGGTCACACGCTTCCACAGCATCGTCAAACCGTTGTGGCGGCCATGGCAGCAATTGAAGACACCATTCGGAGGTGGGAACTAACACGATGGACAGGTGAAGGGGCGAGCGACGTATGTCGCAGGCAGGCGGCGAAACTTAGGAGCACACAGCACGCATGTGGGTGAAGGCGCGTGAGTGAAAAATGGCAGGAGCAGGACGTTGCGGTGCGTTACTGTCCCCGTACGGAACGGGGCGTCATCCAAGCCCCAGTGACGTGGCCACCGAGCCCGTCAGCAACCACAGGCAAGCCCACAGCCTGGCCGTGCCTTTCCCGGCGCCCTCAGGGATGAAGGCCTGGTAGCGACCCACACGGGCAGCGTCGTGCAGGGGGTGGCGTTCTCCGCTCGTGGACCATCAGAACGGAACTGCACCCACGCCCAGCGGATCCGCCCCTCAAAGAAGGGCACAGCTGACCCCACGTAGTGCAGCCAGGACCTAGGCGAACGTGACAACGACGGTTCGATGTCCGCCGAGGAGATCAATCCAACGGCCAGGACCACGTAAGCCGTGGCCCAAACTACGAAGCCTCAACAGCCCCTGTGTATCGCGTCTCGAACGTGCACACCAGAGCGCAGGTCCGAGCTGGTCCGAGCTCAAGGTGACGGTGCATCAACTTGGTATCGAGGGCATGAGTGACATGGAGGGTGAAATAGACTCAACGACGTATGTCGTCTGTCGCAACGGCTTCCACAGGGGGAAAGCGATCACAGACAGAGATGAACCGCCTAATCCCATTTGTGCCGTCACAACCAGGGCACCCAGATCCAAAATTCCAAAGCCTGCTGGCAAGCGTGGCCGGCTTCCAAACAGGGGGTGCATCGACATGGTGGCGAGGGCCTGCCTGCCCACGCCGTTTGAGCCCGACCTCGGCTAAGCAATGCTGAAGCCGAGTAAAACCCAATTGCCGCTTGTGCGGAGAGAGAAACAGACGCAACGACGTATGTCGTCGGTCACAATAGCAGCTGATGGAGACTGACTATCAACTAGAAGAGCCAGCCGCCTCTGAGCGCGGCCAACTGTCGAGTAGGCGCTGCATGTCACGACCGCTTGAAGGAAAATGACGCTCCCTTAAGAGATAGAGCAGCTGGTAATTCCTCACTAAGCCCCCCTTAAGCTCCCCTTAAGCCCCCCTTTAAGCCCCCCTTATAAGCCCCCCTTTAAGTCCCCCTTTAAAGCCCCCTTAAGGCCCCCTTTAAGCAGCTCCCCTTTAAGCCTCCCACGCAATGACACACACACACACACAAAACAAGAAGAAGAAGCCATACGAAATCATTTTATGGTGGTTTTTGCGAAGAAAATAGAATGAGAAAAGCAAACTTAATGAAACAAAACACAATCACAAGCCCCCCACGCAAGCACACACACACACACACACAAAAAAAAAAGAAGAAGCCACACGAAATCGTTTGATGGAGTTTTTGCGAAGAAAATGAAATGAGAAAAGCAGACTTAATGAAACGAAAGAAATGAACACAAACACAAAAGAAGAAGAAGCCACACGAAATCGCTTTTTGGGTGGTTTTGCGAAGAAAATACAATGTAGCACCCATACTTTGAAGGCTTCAAAATCTTCCTTCATCTCCCTCCTTCAAAGCCCCCCCTTCAAGCCCCCTTTAAAGCCCCCCTTTAAAGCCCCCTTCAAAGCCCCTTAAAGCCCCCCTTTAAAGCCCCCTTCAAAGCCCCTTGAAGCCCCCCCTTAAAGCCCCTTTAGCCCCTCTTCAAAGCCCCTTTGTCAAAGCCCCCCTTTGTTTGCGTAAACCTCTAAAGGGGTAGCTCTAACAGGTACCTACAGCAATGGCTGCATGCTCATACATATACATTCCGCTGCCCATTGGCTCACAGTGGTTTTACCATATTGAGACAAGACAAGCTCTCCTTGCGTAGCAAGACAAAACAACTACTGTCCGTGTGCAGGGCGCTGCCCTTTGATCCTTAGGGAATAAACTGGTCATACACCTCCTAACAAGGAGCATTTCCTTGTGGGTGTATCGGCTCAGTTTTCTGGTAGCGGAGCTCGGAAAGGGCCGCCCGCCTCCCAAAGTCCGCTACAGCGGTCGGCCTCGCCGAACGCTTAACCAAGCGGATAAGAGGCAGCACAATGTCGAGCTCGCATAGCGAAGCCGACGACAGTTCCCAATCCTCCGGGGGATATGAGAACGAAGAGACCTCCCAAGGTCCAGCCACTTATGTCGCACAGTCATATGCAACATCTGACCGCATGCTTGCATCATTAGGCATAACGCCCAAGATCGCGCCTGCCTATGATGGCACCACCTCGTGGTTTGAGTATGAACAGTTGATTGACGACTGGTGCGACATAACAACGCTGGATGACACCAAAAGAGGTCCGTCTCTCAAGACGAGGCTCTCCGGATTGGCCGCAGTACAAAAGGAATCACTGAACCGAGAAAGGCTTGCAGCCCCAGATGGAGTAGATTACTTCAAGAAGAAGATGCGTCCATTTTTCGTGAAAGGAGAACAGTACGTTTTCCTGTGGCGTTTCCTCGGCCTATTCAAGGCATGGAAGGGCAACCAAGACTTTGTGACTTGGATTGCCAAGTTTGAGATCGTGCTACAGCGCGTGAAAAACTCATGGATGGATCTCTTACCAGAGATAGCTCTGGAGGATGCCCATCCAGATTTCATGCAAGCTGTGCAGGCAGACCAAACCTTCTTGCGCATGCAGGATGCAGCCGAGAGAGACACATATGCCGCACGCTATTTCGAAACATGGAACAAGGAACGCCTTGACAATCATCGAAGAGCGTTTCCTCTGAACGATAATCTCCTAGCTCTCCTCTTCCTAGTGCAGTCCGACCTAAATGAGATGCAACG